TGTAAGTCTCACGCTTTCACACACTCAATTCTATGCTTAATTATTTTTCTGTTCAAACCGTGACTGGTATTAAGTTTTATCTTTTTTTATAATGTTCAAAGGCTACCATTTAATTGGCGAACACCGATCGGCTATTTGGTCGCTCATGATCTTCAATGTGCTGGCATCTTTTATTTATTCTTGTTATGCACTTTGTTTATAATTCTGTTCGCAGGATCTTCTCTGATGTTGAAGTCATTTGCCAATGATGTTAAACAAGAATTGAAAGATTCCAGCAAACTTAGCAATTCCAGCGTCAAAAAGAGAAAAATTATGGAAAGATTTGGTGCCTACATCAAATTTGGTCACCTTCACGTCGAAATAAAAAAGTTAAGTGGAATTCCATTTCTTGTTAGATTTTTTGATGTTATTGTTAACTTTTTGAGCATTCACTCAAATAAAGCCATTTCCTATCAAATATCGTTTTCACAGAATTATGATTTTCTCTCGTGACTTTTCATATAATATTTTGAAATTTCGTTCTGCTTCAGATTTGTGTTGGAGTTCAACGATATCTTTGAGTAATAACTTATGGTATACTTTATATGGGGAACTTTCATATCGAATTGGTTGGGTGCACAGCAGAAAAAAAGGTTGAGATTTTGCATATAAGCAGTTTTTATTTTCAAATCTAAACCGAAATTGAGATATCTCAACCAAAATTTATTTTCCGTTAAAAAAATATTTTCTCGATGTAAACAAATATTTCAATACTAAATGGAAATCTGAAAATCTTCCGATCGATTTTTCTCACTTTTCCGATGGGAAATCGAGAAAAATAACGAAAATTCGGTACCCCCATTGGGGCCCTATAAAGGGAGTGGACCACGAGTGCTCAACTTCCAGAAGATTTTGGGTCAGGTCGGATCCACCTATTCCACAAGATGCCGATCCAACAAAATCGATACAAAGAATGAATAATCTATTGCTTAAAGAATTACTAGAAACACGAAGCATCGATTTGGTCACCAAACGCAAACTCACAACTTGGACTGCTGTAGCACCAAGGGCTTATTTTCTACCAAAATGTCACAAACCAATACTTTCTCTCCGACCAATTGTAGCAGATATTAAAGGTCCAACTAGGAAATCTGCTGAATATTTGGTCTCAATTCTCATTAAACTACCGAAATCAACGTTCTTCGTTGGAAATTCGTATGATTTTAAGGAATGTATTACATCGCATAGAATTAATCCAAATGAGTCGCTTGTATCGGAATTTCTTGAAATTTTGGTGTGCCTTATTTTTCCGATAGAAAATAACTTTCTGAAATTTTCAAAACGATCGGATAAAAAGTAGGTATGGCTTCCATCGATGGGAACTAGTATCCGATATTAAAAAAGATACCGATTTTTGTTACTACTGTTGCTTTGACACAGCTCGAGCGAACTATACGGCTATGTCTGTACTATACTACAGACGAACTAATACAAAAGACCACACAGACTCCGATCCTGTGTATGCGTATGTATTGTAAATTTTGCACAAGCAGCTACGATTGACGACTGAGTGCAGAATTTGTAATACATACGCATACACAGAATCGGAGTCTCTGTGTTCCTTTGTACGTTTACACGAGCTGTATTAAAACACCACTGGTCACAGAAATCGGCGAGTTTTTTAGTAGATGTCGTATTGGTGGAATCGATAAAGAAAAGTCTAAGATATTAGCGCTCGTTGGCTCCCATACAAAAATTCCAAAAACTGGAAAAAATATCGATGGTATGTTTGATTTTGAGTGTTTTTATAATTCTATTTGAGCGTATAACTTTTGATCCGCAATGAAAATATTACATGCATTTTAGTATCCGATACCTTAACCGAAAATACCATTCAAAATACCGTTGTTGGTGATAGTTTGGTTGTTGATGGAGGTGATTCTGAAGTTGACGTTGAAGAATCCATGCGAACTGAAGATGATGGACATTCAGATAATAATCAAACGTATAAACTAAATGAGCGTAAAATATATCATCCGTTATTCAATGATTTCAAAAATATTGTACATAACAATCACCACAGAAGTCAATGCTATTGGTTTGACAAAACGTAAGGCCACCTCCAAACCAAAAAGTAGAAAGAAACAGAAACTCGGTTAGTTTGATTTTGAGCATTTTAAATATTTCAGTATATATAGCAATAAGACATTTTTCATTTATTTTTACAGACTCGACTGAATCGGGCGATGTGACCGCAAGTAAGCCTAGCTCAAGCAAATGATCTGCAAGCCGAGTAGGTACTGAAGAGCCAATTAAGAAGAAGCAAATGATTACAGCCGGCTGTGTGCTAAGGTCAAACAACAAGAATAATCCAGATACAAAAGAGAATAATACTGCTGAAGAAGAAGTTGAAGAAGACGCACACGAAATTATTGGTAAGATTGGGTTAACTTTATTAGGTATCGATATAATACCTCATACCTATCGGCGTACATGTCTCTCGTGGACAATCTTTCATTCCGTCCAAGAAAATTAACGAATCAAAGTGAGCATATAATCAATCAAACATTAAACTGAAATTGTCGTTTCGAACCAAACTTAAAAAATTGATCAACTTTTATATTTAAACTTGCATAATGCCATATATAATGGCGTATATAAACTAAACAATGCAATGTGTAAAAGGTGCGCTTGAAGACGCTGACATGAACAAGGATAAAATTAACCAGGTGGTCCTAGTGGGTGGCGGAACAAATACACCCCGTGTTCGAGCCGAACTACAATCATTTTTCGGAAAGCCTGTAAATACGAATGTGAATCCTATGGAAGCAGGTAACTGAAATTTTAATTGTGTTCAATGATTAGAATAATTTTAGATAATATGCTTTTAATATGTGGCATATGGTGCATCCGTTTATGCTGCTATTTTGGGATAAGAATCTAATGCTCCAGCAATCTACGTGAGAAACGTAATACCACTGACAATCAGCGTAGTGGCAAACAAAAATGGGCATCTTGTGTGCAATCCAGTTATAAAATGGACCACGGCATACCCAATTAAAACATTGATGTCGGGGAAAACATCTAAAGACAATCAAGTCAAAGTTCGCGTCCCTCTATTCGAAGGCGAACATCGCATGTCAAGTGGTAATACCGAATTGGGTTCGATGTTATTGAATAGACTCACGGCTTCTCCGAAGGGAGAAGAAAAAGTCGATATCTTCGTAAGCATCGACAAAAATTGTTTGATTTTGCCCACTGCAATTGGCGAAAATTGAAATTGAAAAAAAAAACACTATTCAGTGAGGAGGAAGTCGTCCACATGAAAGAAGCTTTGGACAAACTACCCAAAGCCTTTGAAATAAAAGCGCCCATAAAGGAAGATGTCGAAAGTATTGATTTCAAAAACGTCATCAAAAAAATCAAATCGGAAATACGTCCAGCACTCAAAAGTTATTTTCGAAGCAATCAGGATGAAGGAATTTGTCCAGTTTATGGCGATATTCGTGATGTAAAAGACGATGATATTAAAGAAATTAACCTGACCGATGAATAGTAATAGCAACAACCAAAAAGACCTAATTCCTATACTTTTAATATATGTGACAAGGCGAAAAGAAATATTTTATCGTCAGTGGCGTTGCCTAACGTGTTGGTTGACAATGCCAATGGCAAACCAGTGAATAGCTGTATGTCGAACAATTGTGAAATCATTCGCACCAATACATGGATGTATATTCGAATGTCCGCACATATCAAAGTCGAAACTTGGGACTAGGTTTAAATAATTGTACCAAAAATGTACTTAATTGTACCGCAATTTATTTTTAATTGTATATACCATACTCGTTTGGATAATATTTGAGGTTCAAATTTCGGGGCACTTCAATTTGTCGGTCAACTAGCCAAAATAGGTTCAAACCAAATTGACACGTTTAACTAAGGAGCAGGGTTCTCAGATTTGAGATCAATTGATTTGAAAATCAAAAAATCAAATCGCAAATAAATGATTTGATTTGAAAATTTGCAAATAAAAAAGTCAAATAATTTGATTTGAAGTGTCATATATTTCAAAACAAATGATTTGAATATTTTAATTTGAGAAAATTCAAATAAAATCAATTTATTTGATTTTTATATTGATTTGAATTCTCAAATTTCTCAAATCAAATCAAACATGTGTTAATTATTTTACTAAAAATGTTTAAAAAAAGTTATTAAAAATATGAACGAGAATGAAAATGAAAGAGTTGGAATGGGCAATTGAGTTCGCATTTTCGTTGCGGGTCTCATACGTTGTGTCTCAACAAATTTTATAGTTTAAAACTTTTAAATACACTTTTGAGTAAAATGAGAGCCTTTAAGAACGTTTCAATCGAGATGCACTTACAAATCGAACATACCACAGTCTAACAAAAATATTTTTTTTAAACGTTTTTAGTAAAATAATCGATACATGTATGATTTGATTTGAGAAATTTGAGAATTCCAATCAATACAAAAATCAAATTAAAAAGTTCAAATCATTTGATTTGAAACATATGACACTTCAAATCAAATTATTTGTCATTTTTTATTTAGAAATTTTCAAATCAAATCAATTTATTTGATTTGTGATTTTGATTTAAAATCCAATTTTGAGAACCCTGAATTCAGTCCCCCACGTTTTCTGAACATTAATTGACACAAAATCTATGAACGAAGAAAAAAGTAAATTAATTGTGAAAGAGTGATCATTTCAAGCTTATAACAATAATTCGAGCAGTTATATTTTTCTTATTTACATGGGGCGGAAATGAATGAGACGAAATATTCTCTCTCATGGGCGCAGCCATATTGAAAATTTTGTATGCGCTTATATGTAAAATTGGTGGTGCCACTGGTATATTTGATGGAAATAGAAGAACATGTTTGAGTCTCACTCGTTTATATGTAAATTACATAGGCATTTCCAGGCCATGCTTATTTATTAATAAGCAGGATGTCTGTATAGTGTTTTGAAACAAGAAAAACGGAATTAATTCTTCTTCCAATCCCAAATTAATTTATTAGAAATACCGAGATGTAACAATATCAATTCATGACTTTTTTCAGAAATCTCAATTTTGATAATCATCATCTATTTCATCCTTTCCACCTTCGACAGGATTATAACAACATTCTGGATATGGTTTTCGAATAATCAACTTGATTATGATATCCTTCTTCAACCACTACCAATCCGCAACTAATGTAACAATAATAATTATCTTTTATGTCATCACTACTTTTTGGAAATAAGATTGACTCACGTAAGCACTTCAATGCTGTAATCTGAATTACACAATATTATATGGCATTTTCCTGGTATGTTATGTGCACCCTTTTCATAGATCTCATTTTCATTTATGTAACACTGATCCGGGTAATCTATAAGCAATGAAATTGTGAACTTGACTTATTTTTTTTATAAAATAATTTATTTCAAAATATACTAATATTCTGCGTGTCTGTAATGCGATAAACAGCAGCCCAGTTAAAGTGGACAAGTGCTAACAGCACGCACAAAATAAAACAATTTTTCATTTTAAGTAATTGATCTTAACTTTGTGAATTGCAAATTTAAAATTATACTATAGGTAATAAGTAAACACTTACACTTTAAAACATTACCAAAAACATTTGCTTTTATAGTTTATCCATTGTGAAATAAAAAAATAAAACATATCGCACGATTTCTGTATTCCAACAAAACGTGTTCACGAATTCAATAACTTTTCATCTTATGCCGAATAAATAGAGAGCTCGTGTACACGTTTGTTAATAAAGCTGAAATCATATACAGTATTGAAGTACACCAGCTACAAAATGTAAAGAAGTTATCAATAATATTTTAATCCTGCAAACAATTCAGTTGTGATTTAAAATATAAATTCTATGACTGTATATCAGTAAAGTGCGAAGTGGGTGGTAACTCCCTCTGTGATTTCGATCAGAAAATATTTTTTCGGAAATTATTCGAATTTTCGAGGGTTTTTCGCTCAAAAAAGTGATCTCCAAAAAAAAAATTGCTCGCACATTCCTGCTGTATATAGACTACAAATATATTAGTGAAATAAAGCTGAAAAGTTCAAATAAAAAGGGAATATTTTCTATGTTTTAAGCGTAAAAATATATTTGAAAAAATTTCCGTGTTTTGAGTCACTTTTCAAATTACGGAAATCATTAAATCTCATTAAAAGTTCAGTTTAAAAAAATTGCATAATATCTGTAAATCTTATTGATGCGCTTCATGAATATTCTAAATTACAATTACAGCGCTATGTTAATTCGTTGTTTACCTTACGGTTCTATCAATCTCAAATAGCATAATGTAGTATTCAATTCAAATATCAAAAACTTAAAGTATCTAAGCATGATTCACTGTCAATGTGAATGTATAACCTGAACAAGGTCGATCACTTTGCGATCGTCTGTACTTCTCTGAAAGCTAATCACTGTAATTTAATGTTTCCTAATTGATTGAATACATCTGAATAGCGAGGTGTAGATTGACAGCATTGAAACACGCACAAAAAAGTTGGATAATTTCAATTGATAAATTCCACTTGAATGAACGTAACAGAACGTATAGCTTGATTTAATTTGATCATAAATAATAATTTGTTTCATTTCATACGCCTGCGGATTGCAAAATCCAATTTCGAATTGCCACTACATTTACATAAACTCCTGGCGATTTTGGACGTGCGCATCCCTTTCCATGGGCAATGATGCCAAACAGTTTTTGATTATTTAAAGGTGGACATGCAAGCGGTCCACCACTGTCTGCAGTACAAGCATCCACACCGCCAAACATCCGACCCGCGCAAATTTCGTGATATTTAAGTTCATTGTGATAAAGTCTCTGACACATCGAATGGCCAATTATCTGCAGTGAAACAGCTGCCAAACGTCTACCATTTAGAATTTTCACGTGTTCATTTTCTTTAATGTATCCCCAACCGGAGCTGTAGCAAGTCTGATTTTCAGGAATCTGTTCGCCAACAGACGGTAATTGAATTGGTTTGATGTTTTCAGCAAAGATCAATGGATTCTTAAGTTCCAGCAGCGCGGCATCGTATTTTGAATGTTTTATTATACGATTTATAGAAACAGTAATACCACCTTGGTCGAGTATGGCTGAACCAGCCCGCAATATAATTTGATCAAGTGAATTCACTCCCCTGAAATAAAAAAAAACTTAATTAAAATCTATAAAAATGCTTGAATGAACGCCGAATATTTACATAAAACAATGTAGCGCAGTTAATACGAATTTTTCATGAATTATTGAACCTCCACATAGTTCAAGCTTTTTAAGTTTGGGTTTAAGTATAACCAATGACACTTGATAGGGAGTGTTTTCAATTGGAATGTAGTGGCCTCCGACGATGCGTTCGAATTGATTCGTAGATTTATTCACAATCTCAATCAAATCACCTGTTTCAAAGGAAATTCAATCAGCAATAAAACATAGCTTCTTTTTTCAATGAACTTACTTGAAACCAGGGCAATTGCCAATATCACTATAAATCCAAACAGATTTGTTTTACTATTCATTTTATTAGTTACTTAAAAATAAAGTCTACCGCTTTAGTTCACGAGAGGAAATGATTTTACTTGTTACTTCTCGCTTCCTTTTATATTCTCTTCGCGGCAAATGAGCGGTAGTGCTATTTTTTGTTTGTTAATGAACTTGAAGATTTCACGAATTTCTTCGATTAGTTATACTAATATACTATTGCATATTTGTATGCATATTTGCACGTGTCGATCATTCGTTATTTTTATGGAAATTACTTTTTTTTCATTTCATTCACTGCGATTGATAAACGTTCGATTAACACTATTTATCTTTGGATCTCATTCTTCGTTACTTATAAATGACCAAAAATTAAAAAAAATATATATTAAAAAAAATACAGGCAATCAAGATTTAGGTTTGGTGAAAAGTAATGCATTTGAAAGGAATTCATAAGAGAATCGAAATCTTTTAAATTATTTCTCACAAAAAAAACTGTGTGAATTCCGTACCAGTGTATTTTTCATGAATACTCGAAGAATTTGATAGTTTCCTCCAAGAATAAGCAATGAAAAAAGAATTGAATAAATTTTCAAGAATAAGTGAATGCCCCAAAAATTGCAATCAAAATCCATAACACGCAAAAAAGGCATAATAAATACCACTTAATTTTACAAACAGGTGAATGACTCATTGACTTTTATTCCCATTTTCGTGTTATTTGCATAAGTCGGTATTTGCTTACTCAGTTTTTTTTTATTCATTACACTACCACGTGCTTCTCTGTGATGCTTTTTCGTGCAATGAACTTACACCATAGTTTTTCTAATAGATAGTTATTCCAATTTCGAGTTAAATGCTGAACGTTTTATTTTAGCTGACTTATCCCCTTTAATTTAGCTCCGGTTGAATTGTATTTATGTCAAATAAATTAATCGTATGAAGTTTTTTTAACTAGAAAATATACTTCCTATTGGTGTCTGAATTAAACTAGATTTAATTAGATTAGTATTGCAACTAAAGTTGTAGATTCTTATCTTTTATTGCATCAGTGTATGCTGAGATATTTCTGAGAAACAAATTTTGAACTAAAATCAAAAGTTTTTTTTAAGTAATAATAATAAGTTTTGTATTTTGAAGTAGTAATAACTTTGTCGAAAATTTTGCACTACCAAAACTGAAATTTATTCCGTTTAAAAAAAGATAATTTGATGAACTTGTGATCATTGATCAATTTACGCTAGATGGTGTTCAATGACCATTATCTTTTCTTTGAAAATACTCAATGGGCAAAGATTCAATGATCTTTTTCAATGTTAATGATAACAAAGTGAATATTTTGTTTTGTCTTTACTGTGTATTCCCAGATATTTTATTTATTAAAAAAGAGCATCGAAATCGTATGAAACAAAATTGAAAAGAATAAATATTTTTTTGTACGTGGCGGGATTCCGTAATGTTGTGTCTGTGCATGCAAACAATTATTGCGCTTCATCGAAATATTAGCGGTTCACAACACTTATCAACACTCATACAATGTGAAATGTTGTCGATGGGACACGATGTGTGCAAATGAACACAACGAGTAGTTAACGTTGGCTATTTGTTTGATTGAAAATTCATAATAAGAAGCGTGCGCGCTTATCACATTTTTGTTTGTTTGTTTGGATTCTCGAAACGGGTGAACAAGTCGATTGTGAGACAGTAGCTGTGTGCAAAAGTGATTTTAGACGTCGCAAGAAGAATCCCGAAAAATGAAAAAATTATTATCGATTATTACGTCAAATGTGTGCTAAAAAGAATTAATTACATCAAAAGAAACAATACGAAAATAGAAGGAAAAAAATTATGCTGACGTCTTTGCTCAAGATAACATAGAAATTAAGTTCGAATCTATTGAGCACAGTTACAATTTGGTCGTCAGCGTAAGAAGTAATTTTTATTGTGATCGTGAAGAAAGTGTGAGAAAACATGGAAAAGTGTGTCCTTCAATCGTTTGTGTTGATTTGCGCAGTTTATGTGGTCGTTGCAAATATGAGGACGATCCCCCCAAATCCAAGTGAATCAACTTCTCTTTTTTTCATAAATGATTTTATTTTCGATGAAAGGGATAATCAAATGTCTTTTTCTTACAGATTATCCGGAACAATGTTTTGACGGGAAAAAGGCATACAAGGTTGGCAAATATTTTCCAACATTTCGATCATGCAAACAAATGTTGTGCCGAGAAGATTATACTTTAGTTTATGAAGAGTGAGTTTTTATTTCTTTAAAAGATAGACGAAAATCGGTAACCATAAATTATATAATTTTATTTTACTATTCATCAGTTGTGGCGTAGTAGTAGTACCGACAGGTTATAAAAATCTTCCAGATTTGACCAAACGATATCCAGACTGTTGTGTTAAATTGGTTAAAATTGATGGCGATGAGAAGAGTTCAAACAGTACCAGCGACGACAAAAGTAAAAGCTGAACGATTTATCATTATTTTATTTTAGATTAAGTTGTGTGAACAATTTCATTTGAATTATTAAGTCATTTAAGCGTTAAGAAAATGAACATTCGCCTTGAGCGCAACCAATCGTCTGATTGAATTCATGTATGATGCAAATACACAAGTATATACAAATGAACAAATCCTCGTAAATTGAAACGTATGAATGAAACTGAAACTGATGTGTTGGTCGTTAAACGCATGCGACCAGACGTTGCGTTCACATAGCGACAGCATTATCTCTACAAACATATACGGATACGGTGCAATGTGTGCGTGTACGGCATCAATCGAATGCATTACATTTTAGAAAAATGGACATACAACGACATTGATCATTACAATCTAATCGAGTTTTATGCTGTGCTTTGTTTATTAACGATCAAAATAAAAAAAAACCATTCCACATTTCATTTCGTTGAATTAAAAATTGGTTCTAATTGTTTCATTTCTTGTTTGATTTCAAATTGCATTTGTATGCGAAATAATGTGGGTTAACAGTGTTTTATTGATAAAGTTGTTTTTCATTTGCGCTTCATTTGTTAGAAATGCTATGTGCAATGTAAACGACTATGAAATCACTTGCAAAGACGAGAAAGGAGAGAACGTTGACTGGTAACTATGATCATTCGGAATAGGCTGTTTTTTTCTTTCAAATTTCATTTTTTTTTGTTTTCGTTTCGTTTCAAATTTTATCGAAAGATTTTGTGATATTTTATTTCCTCTCGTTGAAGGTTTTATGTGTACAAATTGCCAGGACATTATAGCGCATCTGCTGCTGAACGGGGATGTTTGTACTTCTTTATTACACCAAGTTCGGTTGGTTCACAATGGTTGCTGTCCGAACATACGCTAAACGATACGGAGAGTATAGCCGGGCGCACACTTACGCAAGCTTATTTCAATGAGAACCAATTGGAGGACAGAGTTTTGGTTGCTTACAACGATGAACCGCCAAACGCAAAAGGAAATTCGAAAAAAGGCCATCTAAAAGGTGTTGTCGTTGCTGACAAACGTAGCGGTTTTTGGCTCGTTCACTCCGTTCCACTTTATCCAAATATCACTTGTGAGTCATTTCATCTTAAACAAATAATTGATAAGAAATTCATATCTAAATCGTACTGACTAATGTGTTGTTTTTGTAAATTCTCAGCGAATGCGAACGATTATCACTATCCGACTACTGGAATGGTATGTATGAATATGAATATGAATTTAATTGATGTGAATAATAAAAATGTAATCTATTCATCTAGATTTATGGACAAAGTTTTCTTTGTTTATCTTTGAGCGCTGACCAAATTGATATTGTTGGCAAACAGCTCATTTTCAACGAACCACAAATCTATGAATCGAAATTACCACAAAGTCTACTCAACGCATATCCAAATATACAACGATTAATTGACGGGAAGCGCATAAGTAATGGTCCATATTGGAATGACGCTGATTTAACAACACTCGGCGGATCTCGTTTCAAATCATTTGCCAAATCATCGAAATTTTACAAAGAGTTGTATGAAGATTGGGCAAGTTTTTCATATTTTTCAAGTTAGTAAAAAATTTGTATTTTTTTCAACGATTTTGTTTTCTTTGGCTTCATTTAGATTGCACCGACTTTGAATACCAATTTGTTTGTGGAAACTTGGCGCAAAGGGTCTGGTAATTTTCCATCAAACTGTACAAAAAGTACACGGTAAAGAACAATTTGTCTCTTTTATGTTACTCGTTTATAAATCTCGTTTTTTTGATGCGGAAATTTCAGCGTATGGAATGTTTCAAAGATAAAATTTAATCAACGTGTATTATTCCCATCGACTGACGGTACGATTTGTTTTATTGTTCTTCAGTTAATCAGTTCTTTGTAGAAAATACTCGATGAAATATGAATTATTTGTTGTTTTTAATTCTAATTTTTTTGTTTCTGGAAATTAGACCATTCCAAGTTTGCAGTTAGCGATGATAAATCTAATTGGATTTGTGTTGGTGATATAAATCGAGCGGTATAATTTTTCAGTTTCATTAATGAGAGTTTTTATGATTGATGTTTGTTTTTGCTTTATCAGGAAATGCAAACGAAACGTGGCGGAGGAAGCGTTTGTTATAACTCCAAGCCAATTTCAGAAAGTTATCGTACACTTGTGGCCGATTTTGAACCATGTCAAGCTTAGCGTCTTGTTTACTCTTTTGTTTGATTTTTCTCCATTGAAATTTAGCGAAATAAAATGCTGGAATGTTCAAACTAAAACATTTTTTTGAAACATTTAAAATACAATTTCATTGTAATTTCCAATTAATAAAGGTGCATTTATGCAATACTCATATACGTATGTTTAAATATTTTTTCAAAATATCTACTTTTGTCGTGAAAATATTAGCAAAAAAGGGGTTTTGATTCCACTCGGATCAAAATTGATTACGGGGGGATATACTTGTAAAGTGTGCATTCATTAATATTGCTATGAAGTAAATGTGTCGTTTATGAAATGAGAAGCTTACATTAGACCATTCAACCTTGTCGCATTCTTCTTCTTAAGCATTCAATTTCGCACTCATTTTCCCTTTTCACAGATTCAGGACAAGCTTAATGCCAAACCATTCGATGCATAAATTTTCGCATTTCATCCGACTAGTCAATATAGTCTTTCAATAACAAAATTTAATTGCTTGAAAACATGAAATGGTCATTTACATTTTATAGCATAATATCTAACCAAATACTGAAATATCATCTATGTTTGAACAGATGTTTTATCGAATATCCTCATCATAATCCCCATGCCAAATAAAAATGTGTTTAAATAGAAAAGCGATTCTTTGTCATCGTCAGTAGAATTCGAATCTTTCAAACTGGAGCACGCTTTCATTTTCAATCGAAAATCAATTGACATAATTATTATGTCTAAAATGGCTGATGCTTCAAATACCAATCCAAACGATAGTATTCCTTTGTCTCAAAATAATTTGAACAAATCGTTGCGACTATTCTACTTCATTGCACGTGCATTTGGCCTTTTGCCATTTTCAATAATTTGCAGTGCAAACGGTGATGTCCAAAATGCTCGAGTTAAAGTGTTTGATTTAATGTGGTTTGTTTTGTCACTTTGTGTCTACTCATATTTAATATGGTTTTATCAAAATAATTTGTCATTTTCAAATGCATTTCGGGTTGAATTTGGTATTTTAACTTTTTGTCATGATATGGCTTGTATTCTGCAAATAATGTTACAAATTATTTCGATTGTAATTGATATGTGCAATCGATCGCGAATTGTTGAGATTTTGAAACTGTTTTCCAGCTTTGACAATGAGGTAACATTTTTCTTTTGCTAAAAACAAATGCGATTTTCTTTAAATTATGTTCAATGTCGCTTTAAATAAATCGAAGGTTGCAAAGTTTGATGTTCATGTGGACTACAAGCGACAGCATCGACGCATACTAGTTTGGTATTCGGCGTTTTTAGTTTTGAGCTCAGTATATCCCATGATTATATACTTTTTGTTTGCGGATAGTTATAATATTATTAATATTATTTCGAGATACCAGTGGGCTATTATTGCCAGACTATGTTTATATTCGTTTATGGGTGGTTTCATTGTTACGTTTTATACAATCTATCTTACGTTCATCATTCTGCTACGTCGTCGTTTCGATATTTTGAATAACTTGCTGAGGTTTGTGACTCCGATGATAATATCGTTTGCATTGCTACAATTCACTTGGGATTACATTAATATTTTAGGAAAGAATTTTCAAAAGATTCCATTGCAAAGATGTCCATCATTGGGCATAAGGAAAGGGCAATTCATTTGATCAAATTTATCGGCATACAGTACAATGTTTTAGCTGAAATCATGAAGAAAATCAACCAGACCTACTCGTTTCAAGTAAGATAATTGACTTTGGCATCTTCGGTGGGTATCAGACATTTACGAAAAATGAAATCATATTTTAAGCGATTCTAGGTGCCATTGACTTTGAAAACTTAATGCCGGATTGCATTTTTTTGCCTTTAAAATTTCAATTCATTTCCATTAAAAATCAAAGCTTATTAGAGTTATCGTTCTGTTCAGGTCGTGCTCAATTTTGGAATCACGTTCATTTCGTGCATTGTAACAGCACTTGCGAATTATCGATATTTTCTTCGACACCAGGATGTATTTAAGGAGATATCAAAAAGTGAAACCATTACTTTGATATTTTTAATGACAATCACCATAAATGTAATCTACAACGGAAGCTTAATAGAAGCAAAGGTAAGCATAAAATATGACACGATAAAATATCTTATCAATTTGGTAAATATTATGAAATTTATTCAATAGAGCAAAGAATTGTGCGCCACCCTGCATCACATCATCAATTCGTGTCATGATAAAAATCTTATTTTGGAGGTGAGGCTTCCATGTTTTTGGTTCTATATTTATTTAATACATCATAAGCTTTGTGTGACCTAGTTGAATTGTCAATCTCAAAACATACAACATCGTCGTCCGGTGGCAAGTTGCGGATTTTTCGATTTCGGTTGGACTCTTTTGTTTAACGTAAGAAAATCTATTTTAATTTTTTTATGAGAAAATTCAAAAAATTTGGTTTTCGGTCGACTTATTTAGATGATTGGTGCGATATCGACGTATGTGACCATATTGATTCAATTCGATGACGACAGAAGGCGGTGGTGAAGCACGATTTTTTCATCGCAACGATTTCAATCGAGTTCAAGCACTTTGTTTGTAACAGAGCATATACTAAGCATAGATATATATCCTGGATATTTTGTCAGTATCCGATATTCATTGGAGCCAGACTTTAAAGTAGAGTAAAAACAATAGAAGTTATTGTTATAGTGATTGTAGTAATGGTTTTATACTTAGACCTATAACAATCACTTCTATTGTTTTCACTCCATTATAATGTCTGGCTGCGATAAATATCGGATACTCACAAAATATCCCGGATATATATCTATGCTCAGTATATGCTCTGGTTTGTAATGTTTAATTATTTTCATGCACCAATTATATGCAATATAATGATGTGTTTTTTATGGTTTGAACAACATAAAATTGTACGTTAATATTTGTGAATTTAGATGTAATTAGGTAGTCTCATCAATTTGTTCATAATAAATGATAGCATATCGATCGATCCCTTCTCTATTTTTTTAAGTCATAAAATCAGAGCATATAATAAGCATAGATATATATCCTGGATATTTTGTCAGTATCCGATATTCATTGGAGCCAGACTTTGAAATAGAGTAAAAACAATAGATGTTATTGTTATAGTGATTGTAGTAATGTAAATGGTTTTATACTTAGACCTATAACAATCACTTCTATTGTTTTCACTCCATTATAATGTCTGGTTGCGATAAATATCGGATACTCACAAAATATCCCGGATATATATCTAT